GTTATTAATATTTTTTATGTATTCAGGTCAATCACATTCTTATTGAAAATGCGAAAGTTTGTATGTCTGTTTGTAATAAAATTTGTTAAATGGTAACGCTTCCTGCATATAAAATTATATATAATATAAAAAGAAGGTCCCTTTTGTACACACCGCACCTAAGAGACGAGGAGTAGTCGCTAAGCGTTTACAAACAGATAAAGAATTTTTTTTTTTTATCTAACACAAATTTCATGCAATACAATTTTTCCAACTAATTATAATATAAAGTATACCCAAATTAAACTTATACATTTTCAAAACGAGGAGTTCCCTTTTAACCTCTAATCTCATGTTTGTATATAAATTTTACCTCATGTGACACTTTGATAATTTATGGCGTTACCTGGAACATCCTAAGTGGGGTGAGGATTTACTCCATAAGTCATGTCTCCAAAGGGTTTGACAAACACTATGTCTCACTAGCGACTTACCCTCACTTCGGGTGCATCTCTTGTATCCTTTTGTATTTATAATATTATGTATCGTCCAAGCCTTATAAATAACTGATTGCTAGAAAGCCTGGTCAAACGCTTTTATATTTCATAAATACAATTTTAAACAAAAAAAATATAAATTGTATAGCGAATTCAAAGCTCATACCGCCTGCACTACAAAGGTCGTCAGCAAAAATTATTAAGATAAAATGAGATCCCATATATTACGTTGAGTTTTTGTTACACGTACCATTTTACGGTAAAAATATCGTAAAAGTGTCTCATATGATAAAACCCTTATTTTGTAAAACATATTTTTGTTTCGTAAAGAAATTATAAATTTAGGTAAAATACTATGTAAATATAAAATATATTTTATATGTTATTTATTTTTACTTGTATTACAACAATATTTGCATAAAACACACACACATACACACGCATACGCACACGCGCACACAAACACATACACCCATATACACGTTAATACAAATTTTCATTTCCGTCCTATAATATTCATGTACTCATAGAACAAATTTCTAAAAGCTTAGAAATTTTGACACATAAGTCACAAAAACAGAATATAGTAAACAAAGAGTAGGTTCTATTTACTGAGCTAGTTGTTTAGTAAATCGAACCTACTATATTATCAACTCAAAAGGGCGATGTACATACATACATACATACATATTATATCCTAGGAATATTAAAACAAATATTAAAACCCAAACAAAAAAAATATGAAAGCGCCAAAAATATTTTTATACTTTTAATATGTACTTTGCGTGAACAACTTAATCCAACATGTTAAGCTATAATTTTATATTAAAAGATTATAAAGAATTATGAACTCTTCGAATATTATATTTTTGTAACACGAATAGGCTTAGGGTTGCTTTTGTCATTTTAGGGTTCCTTACACCCAATATAAAAAGACACCTTATAGATCACTTGTATGAAAATTTGTCTGTCTATTTATCAAATCTTATGAATGTTTCATAGAAAGTAACACTATCCGAATAACTTAGGATTTTTTCAACATGAGTGGAGCCGCGCGGAAGAGCTAATCACAATTAACACGTACGTCTAACAAAATACTAAAAAATATAGAAAAAAAACTTATCATTTCTGAATTCTTAAAGGTAAGGTTAATATTTATTATGAACAAACCTGAATTTGAGCGTGATATTAGTCACGCTTCAAATTCAGGTTTCAACTGATTGATAAATTCCCCAGTATTGTCGCGGTAACAATATTTTGTATTCACGTCCGCGCCGTATGAAAGCGTTCACGTTGATTTTACAACAAAAAGCATTGATTTTTCAAATCTAAAATACTTGTATTGTTCTGTCACATCTTTATTCTAATGGCCAAATTCCTACATTTTTTTTCTAAAAAACTCAATTCAGTGCAAAAATGTTTGTTCAATATAAATTTAATACACTTGTTACTTAAAGTTAATCACCAGTTCAAAACGTAAATGCCACTAAGTCAAAAGAACCAATAAATGGAGATTTAAAGTTTACTCAAAAAAGTAAAAATTGCAAAATGGGGTTGCTAATTGACAATTTAACAAGTACTCACGTTACAATATTATATGCTTGCCAACATATCACACGTTGAAGAAGCATTGCGAACCGATATTTTTGTTCGAGTGATATGTAATAACTGTAGAGCTGCATTTCTCAATTATAGACTGACTTCAAAAAGGGAGAGGTACTCTATGTTTTTGGCTACTGTAAACCTTTTTTGTATTTTTAATTTTTATATTTTTTCCGCTCGTCTGTGCAGATTGCTGACTCAATGATTCATGACTGTACCTCAAAATTGATGCATTTTAATCCCTCCACGACCGCGGACACGCTGGCGTGTCAGTTAACAATAGATTTATTAGAATTTTAATTAATTTCTTAGAAATTTACCTGGAGGTGTAAATGTGATATTTATTCGGTCTAGTTCCTTATAAAACTATTATTAAATCGAAGAAAGCATAGAGTATTAAGGAAAGATCGATTTATTCGTATAATATTTTTTTTTCAAATATAAATATTGTTTTTATTTTAAACTTTAATTTTTTTTGTAGCAGTCACTACTAGCTTTCTTTTGAATGTTGGGAAATACATTTACGCATACCACCTGTATATATATATAGGTGGATATGTGGGATTCACCGGCTAGAATAGCCAGTAGGTACTACCCACAAAAACCTAACAGAACCTCCCCCGTCTAAATAGAGCGTACCAGAGAAGTACCAGCAACCCGCATGACACAACGCCCACCGAGGTAGGCCGCTTCCCAGTACGTTTCTTAGCTTCGCGCCCGGTAGGATTGCTGGTAGCTAATGAGCCTCCCCCCCCCCAGGACAAGGTGAACGCACGCTGAGGGAGATATTCTAAGTAGTATACATAATAAGTTTAACATTTCACAATGTTTGGTATAAGATTAAAATAATGAATTATAAGATTTTAATCAAAGGATACAAAATAATCACTTCAGTAGAGAGTTAACCAAAGAGAATAATTTGCTCAATAGAAACCAATTTACAAAATTTGATTATAAGGTATTCGCGGTGAAGGCCCGCTGTAACCATTTAATTTATTCAGATTAGATTTTTGTAACCATACCTGTGTCTCATCTTATGTATGTTACACCGTTACTATGAAAATAAACATTAAATCTAGCGACTTTCTCTTACTTCGCTTTGTCTCATTCCAATATGCCTAATAATAGTGTATAAATATAGTAGCCTAATAATGCCTAATAATAAATATTATTCTAGGTCATTTTATATATGACACAAAAAAAAAAAATTTAAAACTTCTTAAAAAAATATTTAGTGATTGTGAAAATGTTATGAAAGTGATATTAGACAAATAAAAAAGTACATATTTTTTCACAAACTTTACTATAATCTATAACTAGCGACCCACTCTCACTCAGCTCTGGTTCGTCCCTAGTTACGTATTAACATTTAGTATAGATTTCTCAGAGATGAAATAATTTTCAAAAAGCCTATATGTAGACCCGGATAACCAGCTATCATCATACCAAATTTCATCAAATCTGTCCAGTGGTTTCTCGTGATGCGTTCCCAGACAGACAGAAAGACAAAAATTCTAAAACTATAGATTCGGCTTCTGTATCGATAATAATAACTTGTATAAGATTTTCAAAAAAAATATTTAATGTACAGATTCGACTCAGAATTTTATTATATGTGTAGATTATAAAGACATACGGTGTAATAATGGCTGGCGATCATGACTCCTTATTTTGGAAAGGTAATTTTCTGCTCGTTGCCGTAAAGATATTTGAATTCCACACGTTAAATATCAAAGCCGCAGGTTTAATGACATTTTTCAGTCACCTTGTATTTGTAAATATACTTTTTATACAAAGAAAAAATTATTAAAATATTTTAAATAAAACTATCTTTTCGGATTATTTCGCAGATTTATTTTGATTTTTGGTTCCCGACCGCATATATATATTTTTGTTTTATGTATAACCACAAATATTTTTTCATTTAAAATGTCAAATATTCGCGTAAATCTGGATCATTCGCTTAACCTATTTGTACGAGTCTATATATATGTAGACATAATAAGCAGGTAATTTGTAAGAAGAATGTTTTTTCGTTTTCCTGCGCTCCGCCCGCGTTAATCACCAACATATCGTATACTTAAACCTTCTCCGAAACACGCTGCATCTTATGGTATGAGTATTATTCCAATCGGTTTAGTAGTTATCGCAGTATAACCGAACAAAAAAATTGGCTCACCATTTATTAGTATAGATGTGACCACCGGTCATAGGTATGCTAGGTTGTAACATTAGTGTAACCATCGGTCATGGATATGTTCAGTAGTAACACCAGTGTAACAAAAAAGTGTATATATATATATATATATATATATATATAACAACTTTCAATCAGCTTTTTATGAACTTAACTTTACTACTTTGAGGTACCTAGTTTAGCTTAACAATATACATTTTCTAAGTAATCAACAAACAATTGAAATAAAAATATAACTTAAAGGTACCAATTAACATAATAACAGTTATCAAGTAATATTATATAAGTCTTCAAAACAGCCTTCTGACTTGTATAATATCGTTATGTTGCTTACAAATAACAGTCTATGCCTTATAGGCAAGTAATAAAAATGAGATCTTTTTGTCAACAAATAAATAAAAATAATTCTTCTAAATAGTTTAACAATAAAATAATCACTTTTCTAAAACATCAATTTGCTCTTTAAGTTGGTAAAACACTACCTATTGTAATGATATTTGGTACAGGTAATTTTTTAACGATTTGATCCATCGGAACATCTGCTACATCTTTTTCATTCAATTGAAATAAGAGTGCCATTCTGTTTACAAATTTTGAGGAAAGTCACTCTCAATTAACCTTCTTCATCATCAACAGAAGAGCAGATTGCTGCATAAAAATATTATGTATTCCTAGTTATATATTTTACCAAAGACATAATCGCTACTGCTATAAAGACTCCGTTATGAATAACCGCTAACTTCTGGTGTTGATAGATTGCTATCCAATTTTGAACGGTAATCCACGTCTCTCGCGTCAGTCGATAGTGGCATATCATCATCTTCAGAGTCTGTAAATACGATTGGAGTATTTATACGTGTGTCATAGTGTGCCACCATCTCTGTCTGATAATGAATAGATCCTAGCTTCGCATGCGTCAGCGTCGCAGAAACAACTTAGTGACTTCATTGTAAGATGATTGAGAATGTAAGCTGACCCTTTTGACTCTTCCATATTTTTGACGCTGATTATTTAGTTTAGATTTTAGTTTTGAAACCATTGCTTTCATCTCTTTTAATTGCTTATTTCTGCATTTTCTCTGTCTTTCACTTCTGCTCTTTGCTTCTTTTGCTTTTTGATCTTCGTTCACAATGGGCCTTATTAGCTCAACAACTATTGGTTATGCTTCATCGTCAATAGTTGAAGGAGTATTCTGGTGTACAAAATTATCTGTAGTAGCTGATGACATCGAGTTACCCATTTTTTGTAGAATCACCCATATATATATTTGGGAAATAAAACCACTATCACAACTTAGATTTTTATTCAACAAAATGACTCATCCAAACTTTATTAAAGGCGTCCTTTTCATCTGTTTTTCAATTTGTCTGACACTCTTACCCTTGATGTCAGGGACATTTGAGATTGTATACACAGCTCCAAACATGTTGATACACGCAAAAATATACAATAGTGTATAAATTCCAACGTACTCTTCTATATACTGGAATGTCATCACGTGAGCGAGTCGAAGAACTTGTGAATAAGTGAAGATCACGCTTAGGATTGTTGACCGAACCTGAAAGATGATTTAAAACGTCGACGACGTCGTTTTTTTTCTTTAATCGAATAATAATACCAAAACTATATACAGGCTCATTTTTAATTTACTGAAAACCTTTTGGGAATACACTATTTACAACATAACAACAACATCTGTAAGAAAAAAAAAAAATATTTTAAATTTTACAAAAATAAAAATATTTTATTGCACCTTCTAAACAGTAATAGTCCAGCATTAGCAAAAGAGAGCGCCTGTCCGGTGGAGGGGGAGGGGTGGAGGGGTGTAGGAAGCGGCGTTTATTCATTTAAACTTGTTCAGATACTAGAACTTTAAAGTTTAGAAGGTGCAAAAAATACTTTTATTTTTGTATGAAAATAAAAATTTAAGAAATATTTTTGTTGTTACAGATGTTGTAAATAGTATTCCCAAAAGGTTTTCAGTAAATTAAAAATGACCCTATATACTATGCAACATTTACATTAATATTATATTATAAAGTATCAGTCTTCATACATACACCTATGACAGTTATCCACAAAATTGTCAGAATAAGCAATCTACAATAATTATTAAAAAAAAATGAGATATAATAATTAATTTTGTATGTACGTATGTTACCACTGGGCTACCACTGCCTTAATTAATTTTACAAAAATATTATTAAGAGTAATAAAAGCCTAAACGAATCATGTCGTGATCTATCTATACAATAATAAAAAATTTACTGATCGCTGTCTGTAATAGAAGATATTTGAGAAAATCTACTGTTGGGGGCCTTTATCAACGCAATAGAACCCAAAATAATGATTTTTAGAATTATTGTATGTTTGTCTGTACGTGCTAAACTCAGAAACGACTTAATCGATTTGGGTGCGGTTTTCACTAATGCATTGTGGTAAGCTTCACTTAACATTTAGTGTCTTCAATCGGTTCATAAATAAAAAAGTTTTTTCAATGTAAAGAATCACCGGGTGGGCCGCTAGTAATAATAAATATAACTTTTAAGATGGTAAAAATCTTAGTCTCCCCCGTGGTCATGTTTGCTATAATAACGTGTGCAAACGTTAGAAACAATCATTAAATCATAATAAAATCTCGATTACATCCGAAAAATAGTTTGATTTTTAAACGGCAAATACTCGTGTCAATCTGAAAAAGTTGAGTTCTTGTTTTTTTCTCTTATATTGTATCAGTTTTAGCCCTCGCTTTTAAGCTCTTGTTCATAAAAAAGGCTTTCGATTAAAAAGGGATTAAAGCTATCTCTATTCCAATTTTTATTTATACCATATAAGCCGTTACAGCATGCATATATATATATATATATATATATATATATATATATATATATATATGTGTGTGTGTGTGTGTGTAACAAAAACACGATATATGTACACTCACTCACATACTATATTGAGTATTAGTCACCACAATAAAAAGTCAATTAGTTATCCACATTAACTTTTTGTAAGTAAATTCTTGAGATTACCCCAAACACACAAACAAACAAAATTAATTAATTTATAATAGTATATTCTATTCGGACAAATTATAATGCCATACGAAAGACGAATTAGAAATTGTTTTTGTATCCTCTAGAAAATAGCCAATCTAAAGCCTCACGCAATAATCATATACTCTTATAATCTCTTAGAAACCCTTGGTCCATTAAGTTGAAGTAGTTTAGCACTACTTAAAAGACATAACATCTGTTATCGCCTTTACTGGAGATACGATAGCTAACTTGTTTCTCACCTACCCAATCGGCACTGCCATTCACATTCTTGCCACTATTCCACGCGGACATGACTTGTAAATTAATGATTAAGTGTACATTTGTTTTGTATATGTATTTATTTTTTTTGTATTCCCAAGTAGGGTTGACGTCAGGCAGGCGGCCGGTCGTAAAACCTTTGCCAAATCCTTATCAGCAGTACTACAGAAGATGTACTGCGCCGACACCAAGTGATTGGAAAATGGGCAGGGAGAAGAAGAATAAGATATAACTAAATATATTTGTAATTGGAATGTATTTCCTTTAGTTTACTTCAGCCTTTTAGAGTGATAGAGTATTTAAAATATCAAACCAATTATTTTCACTAAAAATTGCTCCACATATGACACGCAACTTTTTTAACAGAGTTAATTACTTATAATACAACTATCTTGATAATAATTGTTTCAATGGAACAAGTATTACCCGAAGGAAAGCAATGTAATTTGATAAAATTCTGCCCATGACAAGAAAAGCTATTATAACTTATGTACAGGACTACCTGTACCGGCCAACTTCGACCAAAAATATCAAATTATGAAGAAAAATGCTCAGAAGGCAGTTCTGCTGCGAAGAAATTCAATAGTTGCTCTCTTAAAAACAATTGTTTACAAAAATATAATATTTTGAAGTTATTCTTCTTTGCTATTAACTGGAATTAAGTCCATACATTTACGTTTATCTTGAACACTATTCTACGATAGAATAATTTACAGCTTACTAGTGGAGTTTTAGTTGGAAAATTAAATTGTTAAAGTGGCAAGTTTTGAAAGCTAAGGCTTCGTATTAAGCTCTTTTATATATAAACTAGCGAGTCACTCTTACTTTGCTCGAGTTCGTCTCTAGCTTGATTCTAAATACAAACTTTCATCTCATCTTCATTCTTTCATAAAAAGTATCCTATGTCCTTTCCAGGTTCTCAAACTATCTTCTTACCAAATTTTATCTAAATTGGTTCAGTAGATCCAGAGATTATCCCCTTCAACATCACAAACTCACACACTTTACCTCTTTATAACATTAGTATAGATACAGATATCAGTAAAAACAATTGATATTTAGATTTCAATCTTGTTCGACTACATGGTATACTAAATCGCCTTAACCATAATAGGATCATTAGGGGGTGGAACATTGTGTAGGCTCAAGAAGAGTAATTAAAACCGACGGTCAAGTAGCCTGTAACCATTATTTACTGTTAAGTAGGAATTAGATTTTACTCGTACATTCAAAAGTAAATGTACTAGAAAATAACTCACTGACTGAAATGAAATCGAGTTACGTTTGAGCTTAATCTATCTATTTATTATATTTTTTTATAAAAAATGAAACCATGATGATGCTTGAGCAATATACTACTAAGCTGGCACTTTCTTATCTATACAAAAATATATTTATTTATGTTATAGAAATATTTTTTACTAATTTTCAACAATATTTATAGTACATTATACACAAATATTTTTAAATCTGAACAAACTTTTTGTTCTGAAAACTCTGTTTTCATATTTATTGAAGGTGGCTATAAGCATTGTAATATCACGTTAAGACTCTCAGAAAAGCATCAATTGTACATAAGTACTCGTAGACTACACGAGTAAAGCCGAGGGTAAAAGCTAGTATATAATAAAAGCGTACTGAGGCCAACTGTTACAATTTTATTATGTGCATAGATCAGACCCTGCCTTCGTTGGGATAATTTTTCAATATAGCCAGTTCTTTTTGTCCTTTTAAGAGTTCAATTTTAAAAGAGGAAAGAGCTTGTCCTTAAATACTTCTGTGGCAAACTTCAATTATTGGTACTTGATTTGTTCAGAATTGTATTGTATTGTATTCAGCCATTTTTGACGTCCCACTGCTGGGCACGGGCCTCCCTTCAATACGAGGGGGATCAGGCCATTGTTCAGAATGTTACCCTTAAAATATTTAAAACAACATTCAAATATACATATTATTATACGTTATTTAAGAAGATACGTACCTCCAAATTAAGTATTTCCACCATAATCACTGTGGGTAAGCCCCATGCAATTCCATAGCCGAAGATAAGAATGCTCAACGCAGTTACTGGTAGCCATGTATATGAGGGCACTGTGAGATCAGCTTGTGTGAACACTGCGAGGGTTCCCATTGATAACACCATAACCGAATAGGCGAAGGTTAGGAGATACTGAAACAATAGCAGGTATATAAGAAAAGAAATACATACACATACATATATTATACACGTTTATTTCTTTTTATATCCTTTTGTCTGTTTGGTTATATATATTATTAATTCTTTCTAAATGCTAGCTGACATCCGAGTTTTTTGACAAATTTAATATTTGCGATAATGATCATGACATTCATGGTCGTGATCCTCTTCAGTTAGGGAATGAGGAAGAAGAAGATGTGAAGATAACAATATGATGGTGCTATGAAGAAGTCACTCAACAAAATAAGTGACTTTTAGTAAACAACTAGTCCAAAAATAAAAGCGCGTTTTCATAATGGTGAACTAAAGTTCGTACACGAAAAAATATTATTTGACCCTCTTTTAAAATTAACAACTACGCAGTTCGATTACCGGATTTTTTTGAATTAATTACACTCCAGATTCTTAGTCACATTATACCTTGGTACAATATACCAGGCTATTTAAAAACTATTAGACCGATTTTCGTAATACTTTAGCTGGATTCGCTGCATAAGCAATTCAAAGTGACTTTATTTTCTGTTTTGTTTTGATTTAAAGCAATCCCTTTTTTATATTTCTTACAAAATCAAGTGAGGCGAACATAATCTATACATATAATAAAATTCTAACTAAGTTGTATCTGTACATTAAATATTTTTTGGAAAATATTTTTGAAATATTCATTACTATCGATACAGAGGCCGAATCTATAGTTTTAAGAATTTGTGCCTGTCTGTCTGGGAACGCGTCACAAGAACACCACACATTTTGGTGAAATTTGGTGAAAAGTTAAATATAACACCACTCGGAAATAGACGCCCCCAATACAAGGCCCCTAACCAAACGAAGCCGTGAAAAAAATCTAACAGAAATATAAATTTCTTGAGATTAAATTAAAGGAAGTAATATTTTCTTATTAAATTTATTTCGCTATCTACGTAGCGTTACTGTGATAGCGTGTGAAACGAACTTTAAAGTGTATTCGGCCGAGTTGAGTCGAGTTTGATCTATACTAAGCTACTTTTCAAATAGAAGAGGTTTGTTATCATTGACTGACTTCAAAAAAGAGGTATTCAATACTGGTATTTTTTTTTTTTTGTATTATAGGATATATTCGCAATACAACAGATTTATTTATTTTTATAAACAAAGAGTATACCTTATTTTTGTTAACTTGTGAATAAAAAAAGTGCATGGTATGTTTTTTTCAAGATTTATAATATTAGTATGGATAGGGTAAATTAACTTATGAGTGAAATAATAATAAATTTAATAAAATATTACTACTCGTACTTACTCACTTTTCTTTCTACTATTCGTATTGATAGGAAACATACACACGCCCCAACAAACATGCAGACAGGCACGAGAAAGTTCTGCGGGTCTACGTCTGTTTTCAATTGTATAAGCGTTTTATCTTGGTCCAGGAATATTATCCAGCCACACAATGTATTTATCGTTGATAACATTAACCCGATTTTTATTTCATCTCGCCATAAAACATTTCTTACTAAAAAATAATAAGATTTATTAAATTTATATTTCAGAATGACACCTGATGCAAAAAAAATAAACAAAAATGTTTGAAGGAAATCATTAAATGAACAATCTTTCCTTGCCTTTCTTCTGACACCAATCTTTTATAATGTGTCAAAGATTAGAATGTCATACAATGAAAAGTACGTACTCATAAGTAAATGTAATAAGAAAATTATGAAGCGTTTAAAAAATCCATACAAAATATATGTAATATATATGTAATCTTACATATAATAAAATTGTAACTGAGTCGAATCTGACATTGAATATTTTTTGGAAAATCTTATTGAAATATTCATTATTATTGAAACAGAGGCCGAATCGATAGTTTTTAGTATTTTTGTCTGTCTGTCACCGCATAACGGAAAAACCACTGGAGTGATTTTGACGATATTTTATCTCGTACATATAGGATACTTTTTACAGAGGCAAAATATCTTATCTCTGAGAAATCTATACTAAACTTTAAAACGTAACTAGGGACGAACCCGAGCGAAGCGAGGGTGAGCCGCTACTATGTAATTTAAAAGTAGAACGTTTGTTATAGGGGACGCGACGGGACGGGATCGTTGAACAGATTATTGAATTAATTATATGCTATACTGATAATTGATGCTAATTAATGATGCTAAATGATAATGAATGCAGCCGGTTTGATTGCTTTCCGAACACTCACTGCCTTTTTTAGTTGTGTTTCGATGTATTTATAACACACCTACTAAGCATTATTGCTTAGGTGTTCGGTAGAAACCTTTGGACCGAACAACGTTAATTGTTTTGAATGTTGGTAAGTATGCTTAACTTTCAGATATCTGTACGATAGAGCAATTTTCGGATAAGGTATATAAAATGCATTTTTACAGAAAATACACCTATTTAAATAAACTTAAAAAGTAAAATCTTGTATTCAGCATTTTTTAACGTCCCACTGCTGGGCACTGGCCTCTCTTGAATATATGTACATATATAACCTTATTTAAATACAACATTTGATTAAAATCATATACAGCCGTTTCCGAGATACTGGAACTAAATTTATATTTATACTAGCAGGACCCGTGGCTTCCCTCGCGCTAAAACTCATCTCCTATTTTACCACCTTATGGGATGAATTTTGAAAAATGCTAAAACACGTATTTATTTAATTCTATTGAAAAGCATTAATATCAAGTTTAGTAGTTATATTATAACGTGTTTTCCCGTGGGAATGAGATAATCTCCCGTGTTAAAAAGCAGCCTATGTAACTCTCCAGTCTTCAAATTATCGCCACACAAAAAATTACGCCAATCCCCAATCCGTTAATCTTTTTTAACGTGAAAGAAGGACAAGCAAACACACTTTCGCATTTATAATATAAAGTATGGATACAAGAATTGCTCATTTAATATTATAAGATAGCGTTTTAATAAGTAATCTAACCGAAAAGATAAGGTTATAGGCATACCATGCACCTTTTTTCATTACATTCTCACCTAGTTAAGTTTGTTCTAGAGTATTAGATACTAAAGCTTTTTAAAAGACGTAGCATCTTACTTTACCGCCACCTATAATAACTGACTCGTTTTTCTTGTTAAGTGTCGGCATTACATTAAAGTCAGCAATGTATGTTAGAGTTTGCGCCATTATCATGCACACCGACATAGTCATTTAATTTTCATAATATGTTTAGGTAAAAGTATATATGTATTATATACATATATTGTTTTTTTTAATAACTATACCTGAAAATAAAGCCTTTTTGTTACTGCAGGTCATAGTTTACTTTGTACCTACTAAATGTAATCTAAATCCATTTAACCGTTACGTAAAGGAGTAAAGACATACAAACTTGCAATAGATATATTTTTAATATTAATAAAAAATCTTACAAATTATATATCTAAAGGTAAAACAGGTACATTTTAGAGTGTCGTGTGTTTTTACAAGTAAAAATAATTATTTACTCACTACTTTATTTTTTTTCATAGTTCTATGAGCACTCAATTATTGCATTAAAATAAAAAATTAACTTAATTATATGAAAAATTATGACGGTTTTTAGGTAATCTTCCCACTACGATCTACGTATGGTCAATTATACAAAAATGTTCAAATCGAACCCACAACACTAGAAATATTTTTTACCTTTATAATAAGGTTTCATGTAAACTATTAACTATCGTTTGAACTCACACCAAAAGTATATATATATATATTATATGTATGTATATCTACGTATAAACTGAGTTTTCTTTTGAAGTAAAATAAACTTCTTTAGAATCGTTGTGATTTGAAACTCGATGAAACGAAAATGCGACACTAGAAAGAGACGCGACACATATATAGGATTAAGCCGGCGAGAGAATGAGATAGAATACATTACACAGGAAGTGGAAAATAATACTGAATAATATGTTTATTCAGTATTATATGGTATGTAATAAGTATATGTAACATTTAAAATAACTTTTAAACTTAGTAAAAAAAACTAAACCTTCCAATTATCCTACTCCTGATACTCTGTATATGTTCATCTCATTCTCTCGTAGATAACTTTTTTGAAGTTTCACTTCCCTCCAGTTTCACTTGCCCACGGTTCTGCTTGTATAGTTATACGGTAAATTATCTCCATTCGGGATTTCAATCAAATTCGGCAAGCTGTTACAGCGCAAAAAAGCAACAAACATTATGGATTCTCTCACGAACTTTCATATATAGTAATACAATGCTAGTGGTGAGAAACATAGTCTGAGACCTCTGAAGCGTAGTTATATGAGTTTTTGAGGTAAGTCTAATTCATGTCCGGTACGTCCCTAGGTGCCTTTTTTAGTTATAATATATTTTTATTTCTATCTATACTTAATCTCTGCCCATTTCCCAAATAAGTTGGGGTCGGTGACATACAGATCTCAAAACGAAGACGTTTTCGTCTTCCACTCTCCTCTATTACTCGTCACATTCACCCCTTTCTCTTTCACATCCTGTCTCATACAATCCATTCATCTTTTCTTTTCTATCTCTTCATCTTTCGTGAATTATTTACAGCTATTTAATTTGAATGTAATGCCACTTTTTGGCATATTTTATTACTAGCCTACGTGTTACTCCAAGTTATAGTCTATATGTGTACCTTTCACCCAAATGAGTCTAGTTGCTTCAGCATGAAGGAATAACAAACAAACAAACTTTTGCATATATACTTTTTAATATGCTGGGACATTAACACACAGCACCATCTAGTTCCATGGTAAGCTACGAGACTTGTGTTATGGATACCAGATAGTTGATACACTACACATATATAACTTTAAATACATACATATTATAATTAATATAAATACCCATGACTGGAGTACAAACATTCATGCTCATCACACTAATGAATGTCACCAGTGGGATTCGAACCTGCGACTGCTGTAGCAAATAGGATTATTACAAACTGAGCCAAGCGTGTCGTTGTTTTGCTCAGTTTGTCATAAAGTTAATAAAAAACATTAAAAAATAAATAACTCTAGGACCTTAAAGCAGACTAGGAAAAAATGTCTAATACGAAGATATAATAATATACCTATTATGTTCCATCTTTTTGCATTGCAGTATCATCGTGTAAGAATAAAACGATAGAACATGTAGTATAGTACAGATTACTCTAACATATAGAGAAACTAGCGACTCATCTTCGCATTGTTCCGGTTCGTCTCTAGTTACGTTTTAACCGTTAGTATGGAATAGATAGACTATAGTATACATTCGTGGGTAGTATTATAAGATGATTTTCCGTGGGAATGAGATAATCTCATGCGGTAAAAAGTAACCTATGTCACTCACCAGCCCTTTAACTATAACGTGAAAAAAGGACAGACAAACAAACAAACAACAAACAAACAATCATACAACTTTTCACATTTATAATATTGTTACCACACCCTCCTACGCTACGTCACGTACGATTGTATTAGAGTTAAGAAAGCTTATGTTCACAAAACTATAAGTGATTATATATCTTTTTGTACTTAAAAATAAAATTAAAATGTCTAATATTTTGTACGAAATGAATTCACGATACAAAAGCAAATAAACCATAATTTATCTATGTGTTTGTTTGTTCTCGAAAATCTTCAGAATTTTAGCCGATTTTAGCGAAACTATTTTTCTTTGATAAACGTTTAAATGAGAAGAATACTGGTTACTATTTAATCAGATGAAAGTAGATATAAACAATCAATTAAATAATATTTACATACCAATGTCAAAAAATCGAAATTCTCCATTAGGCTTAGCTCGCTTACTCTCTTCTTCCAACAGTTTGATCTCATGCTCTATATGAGGATCATTTACTGGCAGGCATTTTAATTTCCCCATATTAGATTTAGCTATCTGAAAAAAATAATATAGAAGTAATTGAAATTATTCGAAAAATATAGTGCTTTACTTATATATTTTATAAAACCCGTGGCTTCGCTCACGTTAAAACTACAAAAAACAAATTCTTTGGCTTTATGTTATAAGTAAAGTAAGGTATACAGAAACATATACAAATATATATAAGTAAAGTATACAGAAACACCCACGCTCCCCCGCACGCCCTGCGCCACCCTCGTGCCATGCGCCCATCTACCATACCGTGTAATATTTTCGAAGCCCTATAAACTTTGTTTAAATATTATTTTGGAAAAATTGTAATACACGTATCTCATAATTTTAATTGAAGCGTATTTTAACCAATTTTCGAGCCAATCGACCCAGAAAATAAAAAGTTTTACAGAAAATTCAACCCCCCTCTTCACCCTTCTTAGGGGTGGAATTTAAAAAAAATCCTTTCGTAGTGGATACCATGCAATATAAGTTGTAGTCTGAAATCTAATAAATAGAAGTTTTCCACTCAATCGCATATCAATTAGGCACTCAAAGTTTTAGAAAACAACTAATTATTGCTTATCAGCTAAATTGACTTGTTTACATTCCAAAGCTTATAATATAATATGTATTATATTTTCTTACAGTGCAATGTAAACTTAAAGAAGAATATCTATCTTTTATATAAATAAAAATAAATGTTCGTATGTTTGTCCTCTATGAGTTCCTAAACCGTTGATCCGATTGTGATGAAACTCAGATGGGTGTTATCTTGTATACGCCTACAAAACGTTCCTTTGAAAAAAACAAACTCTTTATCGTATCAACACGGAAAGTGTTGGAGATTAAAAGTATGATGTAAATAAAACTATATAAAAAAAAACAAAAATGCATATTATTGTAATCAATTACAATAATAATAAAATAATTTGGATATGTGTAGAGTCAGCTAAGTTAAGTAAACCGCACACGAGTCTCAAAGAAAAAGGTACAATTTAAAACTAATAGAAAAATACAGAATTTAGTACCTCTTTGTTCTTAAAGTTGGTTAAAAACTATAGAGACGTTAATAAAAAACACTATGTTATATCATTAAACTCGATATAAATTAATACAGCCTTGCTATACAGATAGCTCTTATTAAAAGATCTATTTTATCCGAGTAAATGTATAGTAAAAACTAGTTTCATTTAAAAGGTTTGATCTAGAATTATTATTCATACTGTAAATTGAGCCTACAACCTACAAGACCGTGTGGCCTAATGGATAAGGCGTCGGACTTCGGATCCGAAGATTGCAGGTTCGAGTCCTGTCACGGTCGTAATTATCTGATGATGATGATTTTGTTTTTTTTTATTTACTTATTATCCTTTTTTTAAATATTTTTATCAATTATCACTTAAACAGATAAGGGATCTTATGTACTGAATACAATTTTACCTTTCTTGACTAAGTTTAAATTTTAATAGGAAAATTAATAATGTGATTTAGATTTTATTCTATCTTAAATTAAAACAAAAGTTTATTTATATTTTTAAGTTTATAGCATACTAGCGGAAGCGGCTCACTTCCGCTTCACTCGGGTTCGCCTCTAGAAAAAAAAACAAATCTATCCAACAGGAACCGTACCTTTATCCGGGATAAAACGAAGCCTATGTGTTATTCTGACGTATAAACTATATTATTGTAAAGTTTCATTAAAATCCATTCAGTAGTTTTTGGGTGAAAGAGGAACAAAAATACATACATCTATACGTCCCGACATCCATACATCCTTACAAACTTTCGCATTTATAATATTAGCAGGGATTTATTTTCTCAAATTATTTAAAATAATAGTAACATAATACAAAAAAGCTATGTTTGCTTTCTGTTTGTTCAAAAGCGCTTACTTCTGGAACTAGCAGTCACATTATAGGTTTTCTAATATCAATCTACAGTTCTTAAACGAAACAACTATATATTAACGAAATGCGAACGAAGTTATGAGCAAAATCTAGTATATGTAGTACAAAAGTAAAAAGTTAAGTTACAGAAGAACTCTCCTATCCTTATTTACGGAAAATTTAAAGTCAGTACATATAATATAAAACATGTGCATTTTACAATCAATAAAGAATAGCAATTATTAACATTTCTATTAAAATTACTTCAATCGTTATGTTCTAAAATTATGATATGTCATCTATACTAATATTATAAAGACGTAAAGTTTGTGAGCTTGGAACGTTGTAGGGGGTAATCTCTGGATCTACTAAACCGATTTAGATGAAATTTGGTAAGAAGATAGTTTGAGACCCTGGAAAGGACATAAGATACTTTTTATTCCAGAAATTATCCCTTATGAGGGTGAATATGGGGATGAAAGTTTGTATGGGAAATCAAGTAAATCAATCAAGTGAGGGTGAGTCGCTAGTTCTCATATATATTTTTTTATATTTGGTAGGGTAGGGGTTTAATATAATATGCCACGGTGTAATAACCAGAAGAAAAGTAGTAAATATACGACCAATATAAACATTTAAGGGCGAGTTAAAACCCACGACCTTCTAGTGAATAACAAAAAAGCCATGTCATAAACTTTTTTTATATATGTACCTACAGTGAGGCTGAATCATTTATTGTACTACGACTTTCTCTTTCGTAGACGCGACGTAGCACCGTAGCACCTATCCTTTTTACTTTGCATCATAATTAAGTCATACTTTTATATTTTGATTTTACTGATAATAACACTTTACATAATAGTAATAATAGTTTTAAATTATCTATATTTTTAAAAATTATCTAGCCGAATACATAATTTGGATATTTAAATAATATTATTTTTTAGTTAAAAAGTATTTAAAATCTGTTAAAATCTAATAACTAGCCCCTTAAAGGTAGAATTTTATCTTGTTATTTATTAGAATTACCCGTTACTTCAGGCAATAAAACCAAAGTTAAAAATAGTACCTTGATTTTCTGTTTATGTTACTACTAGCAAAGCAAGGGTGAGTCGCTAGTCTATGTATATTCGTATACTTATATAACACTGTTGCGAAACATTTTTTCAGTATCTATTGAAAATTATTTCAGTCACTTCAGCGACCGTGTGGCCTAATGGATAAGGCGTCGGACTTCGGATCCGAAGACTGCAGGTTCGAGTCCTGTCACGGTCGAATTGGAACAGTACAGTTTCGTTTTTGTTTAACTTTTTATATTAATTTTATGATTTTCTCCATATAATATTTAAATATTTTATCTAACAATTATGAAAGAAGGTTATGATTTTTTTAATGTAACTTAGGATGTGTTATTTGAATTTAAAATTAATTAAAAATAATTATATTAATTTATATCTAATTATTTTTTATTTAATTTAATTATTAAAAAAATAGAGACAATGAAAACAAAAATAACATGAACCTAACACTGACGAAGAAATAAAAACAAATTAAAATATTTTTTGTAAGGTTTCTTACTTTACGCCAAAGTTTCTTTAAAACTTAAACATTAATAAATGGAATATTTAAGAAGTTCATCATATTAAAAAATGGAAATCCATAGCATATATTTATATTATTATTTACACAATACAACAACTTATAAAGTATACATAATTTTCAAACGTAATCATTTACATATCTACACGAACAAACATTTAATTTAAGAAAATCGTGAATTTTAACGATCTAGATTTATCTAGGAGATACCGCTGCAAATGTCAAAAATATTTGATGCTATTTAATTTAAACGCGTATTATTGATCTTTGTTATTAGTATGTGGTATTTTAAATATTTAACACCTCCAGGTAAATTTCTAAGAAATCTATTGTTAACTGACACGCTGGCGTGTCCGCGGCCCTGGAGGGATTAATAAAGAAAAATATATTTATAACACCAAACATGGAAAAACTACGAGCAATTAGTTCATGCTATCAAAATATAGATGGCGTTAACCGTATTCTACGTGTAAAGTATAAAGCGATAGCGTAATGTAACATTATTTATGGAGCTATTTTTATTAATATTTGTGCTTTATTTAGTATGCAAAGCAAGACGAAGATTAAAAAAAAATTAGATTTGTTTTTTTTTCTTGTAATATATGTTATCTGATGACCAACGCTCCTTTAGGAACTCAAACTGTTGTCGATTAAACAAGAAAAATATTTTTATAAATAATATTCACATAGAATGGTATTATGGACATATTTTTTATTTTTTATGTCAGAAATTATAATATAAAATAAATGATATTTAGTATTGAAGAATATATAGCGTCTCACCCTAGCTTCGCTTCGGGTACGTCTCTAGACAAAAACAAATCTATCCCACGGGAACCGTACAGTTTTCCGGGATGCTATATAATTTATAGCCCTCCTTAAAAAACGGACTATCTAATGCAAAAAGAAATTTTCAAATCGGTTTAGTAGTTCTTGAGATTAGCGCGTTCAAACAAACAAACTCCGCCTCTTTATAATGTTAGTATAGATAAAGACTTTTTATATTATAAACTATTGCGTAATTCCGTCAAATAATAAACATCAGACTCAGACTATAAAAACAATAAATTAAAATATTAATAAAATTATATTTTCTTAGTTTTCCGTGAATATTTGACTTCTTTTTCGATTTTTTAAAATTTAAATTCGTTTATATTTTTGTTTCATACGTTTTTTTTTTAAATTATGCATTTTTTATTGTAAGGTACGTACTTTAGTGCCATTTCTCTTCTTATAAAATTATTTCATATATTTTATATGTGGGTAAGTACAGTCTGTAATAATTCATTAATCGTAGCCTTGATCTTGTCTCACTAGGAATTCTTATAACAAAGTTACAAAGATTCGCGTATAAGCGTATATTATTTAATATCCATACTAATATTATAAATGTGATAGTGTATTTGTTTGTTTATTTGTATTTCTTTCACGTCAAAACGGCTTGGCGGATTGGCGTGATTTTTTGTGTGGAGATAGTTAGAGGACAGGAGAGTGACATAGGTTACTTTTTATCGCGGGAGATTATCTAATTCCCACAGGAAAACACCTTATAATACAATCCAAAAAAAATTTTTGATCAGAATTACTTGAAACTTGGTATATTAATACCAAATAGCAAATAATGAAAATTAAATAAGTACATGGTTTAGCATTTTTCGAAATTCATCCTATAAAGGGCTAAAATAGGGGATGAAAGTTTGCATAAAACTACCATTTTAGAGATTTTTTGTAGTTTTAGCGAGAGCAAAGCCGCAGGTTCTGCTAATATTATATATAATTATTATTGTCCTTGATAGCTATGATTGTTGGGTGCCGATATTTAACACAAAATATATACATATAGAGTAAGACGTTGAGCTAAATGATAACATGATATAGAGCTTGAGATGACAACGCTTAGAAAAATCCGTACAAAATATTATTATTAAATATTTTAAGCGTTGCATTGGTTTAAATAAGCCGCAAAAACAATTGTGCATTTTTTACTTTGATTTTGCACAAATATTCGATATCTATACAGATAAATAAAATTCAAATGTATGTTTGTAACATCATAACATCTTTTTACTAAATACATATAAGTTTATAAGAAAAACATTACTTTTAAAAAGTATGTTGCGGCCAATCTCCAAAGCGGCTGAACTGATTTTGACGGACTTTCACAGGTATATAGCGAATGTTATTAGGGGTGATTTAGGCTACTATTATTTTATAAAATTAGGGTTCCGCTCAAAATAATTAACACGTACCTAAGGACGCATGCGAAGCGAAGGTAAATCGTTAAAAATAAAATAAAATTACAAATATTCTTACCTCAATTTTTCCAACTTTAACCAAATAGCTGGGCGATTCCACAACCATAAAAAGTGATATAAACTGAACGATGACTAGAGCAGCAATTAGATACAAGATGTTTTCTCCAGTAAGTCCAAATTTGACCAAATAACCAGCTGAAGTCATGAAAATGATGAAAGAAGTCATGACCCCGCGATGGACGTTAGAATTTATTTCACGTATATAAATGGGGATACTCAAAAAAAGTCCAGCAGTGGATATGCCGGAGAGTACGTGGAGTACGATGAAGCCGACTTCGGTGTGAGTTAAAAAAAGTGGTATACATGATGCCTGAAAATGCAAAAATATTTGTTTTAACTCTAGCTCATGACATCTAAGTAACATTTTATATCTTAATTATCTACTGGTTATACAATATACATACCAGTGACGAAGGGTGAAATTTTAGCAGAGGCAAGGCATTCCAAAAATATACAATTCTTATATACGTATTAATGCAGAAAGAAATAAAGCTATTATAATTTATACAGGGTGGATTTTTCATACGGGACAGGAAGGGCAGGTACCTTAACTGCTATAGTTACAGGAATGTTCCTAAGATGAAATGTTCCTAAGAGACTATCCATAACTTTTTAAGATATTCTGAACTGCATTTACAGATGGAGGAAAAATGTACAGTTAGCAAAAAAAATGCTAAAATACTAAAAATCTTTTTTTTATGTCAATCGATTCTATTTCATATAGAGATCAAAAGGCTCTATGGGACCATTCAAGGTATGAGTACTAGAAATGATAGAAATCGCCAAAAACTTTACCCATACAATTTGTACGGAAAAACGATTAATGAACTCGAAATTTTCTTTGTTACTAAACGGTTCTATTCTCTGAAGCCAGTTTTAGCAAAATAATTTTAACGTCTTGTGTGGACCCTTCGCCAATTATAGATACATATATTCGATGATAAACTATTTTCATTATAATAGAAGAATTATGTAAGGTGAAACAAACATATTACTGCATTTATAATATATATATATATATATATATATATATATATATATATATATATATATATATATATATATATTTGTTATTTTCTAGCGAATATATCCATATAGCTAAGGTTACTTATGATTAAACTCTCCTTTTTTGGGCCAAACGATGGATGATATTATAGAGAAGTATCTTACAATATTTTGTTCTATGTTATGGCTCATTACAAAGTTGGTGTTTCCATTAAAAAAATCAACACTTGAAATATTAAAGTGTAATAATATTAAAAAAATATAATATTTAAAAAAATACAATAAATAACTTAATTATAAAAACATATAAATAACGTACCCCTTGTAATAAAATTACTAAATAAATGCCGAACTTTCTTCCCCATTTGTCAATAAAATATCCTTGCAGCGAAGCACTCAAAATAGAAGACAGAATAAGTGCGAAGCTGGTCCATGGGACATTGTATGGGGTTGTGAAGTGTCCTGAATGGTCTGATGTAGATAAATTTGTACTCGCGATCCCATGTGTGAAGAAAGGTAGACTAACTGAAAAAAATGACTGTAATTAAAACTGATGAAGGTTGTAGCAGTAGGGCCGTATCTAAATTGCCACTGCCGGCTATAATGGAGCATAATTATTCACTAGTATAAACAACTTTTTTCGTACCAATAAATTGGACAGTTCTTATTCTGGTTATCCTTTAAGTTCGTAAACAAAGCTCGAAACTGGTTCACAAAAACAGTTAATTTCGTTAAATAATGGTTAATTCACCGCTCGTTTATTAACCGATTGTGAAAAATGAACGGTTTTTTTAGGAAAAGATTTAACTTAGCGAAATAAACCGGTTAATTCTAGAAACTTAAATATTCCAGATTCATTACGTTCAGTAAAAAATTATAATAATTTAACGCTGAATAAAATATTTTTATTTTGAAGCTTGTAACTTAATAAAAATCTAATCTAATCATTTCGAACCACGCACATATGTTCGTCGTATTTTATTATGCATACAACTGTAAAAGTAACGTATCCATTTTATTACAGTAGAAGTAACACACATAATTGGATTAATTCAATTAATTTAATCTAGAAATAGCTTTTATTGCCATAATTAGCATACGATAGTTTACAATTTGACATAGTGATTGATAGTTTGATTTATCTATCTATACATACATATAATAAAAATCTGAGTCGAATCTGTATATTAAATATTTTTTGGAAATCTTATTGAAATAGACATTATTATGGATACATAGTCCGAATTTATAGTTTGTAGAATTTTTGTCTGTCTGTCTGTCTGTCTGTCTGTCTGTGACCGCATCAGGAAAAAACTATTGGAGGTATTTTAATGAAATTTGGTATGGTGATAGCTGTCTATCCGGGTCATATAAGATACTTTTTACTGTGGGAAAATATCTTATCTCTGAGAAATCCATACTAACTGTTAAAACGTATCTAGAGACGAACCCGAGCGAAGTGAGTGGGAGACGCTAGTGGTATTTATTTTAAGGTTACCATTATAATTGACATGTTATTGTAATTTTATTGATATAGTTTTTAAAGCGGTAGTTAAGTATAAAAGAGAGACAGCATAAACTTAACACCTAAAATTTAGAATAAATAAATTTTATAGGTACTTTTTCTGCCGACCTTATCCTAGCTTAATAAATTGAAGATCTCAGACTAAGGAATAATATAGACAGAGTGTCATAGAATAATAATAATTATAATACTTTTTATTGCACACCGAAAATCTAAAATACAAAGAACAAATGCACAGCAGGCGGACCTTATCGCTGGAAGCGATCTATTTCAGGTAACCTTGAAGAGGAGGAGTAAATTTTCATAAAACGGTAGACAGTGTACTTGCATTGACACAAACTAAACTGTAAACATTAAGCCAAAAGGTATATTAAAATGATGTATACAATATCTTAAAATAGTATATAAATAACAGTCTGTATACTGAGTGATAAGTAAATAAATAAAAATAGCTAACAAACTTTATTATAATACAGAAAAAATCCTATATAAGCTAATATCACTGTCTTTCTTTTAAGAGGAAGAGATCTAATGCTTAAAAATACAAAAGAATATAGTTTTCTCTTACTAATGTTATAAATATGAAGGTTTAGATGTTTGGATGGATGTTTGTTTCTCAATCACGCCAGAACGGCTGAACGGATCTGCAAACTAAATATTGGCTCTGACAAGGACAGTTATGATTTTAGTACCTATATCATAAGCTTTATCTAACTATCTCTAATAAAAATGAAATCTCTATGAGTAATTTTAAAACAGCTACTCGTGTGAAAAGGCAGTGATCCATAAAACCAAAGTTCAAATCCCGGGTTTTCCACCACTGATATGTTCATATGCGAATCATTTTCAACATAATTACAACAAATCTTACTGTGAAGGGAAACATCGTGAAGAAAACTGCATGTTTGAGAGAAACTAGGAAGTTTTCGAAACATATGTAAATTCCGCCAATCCGCTCTTGGCCAGCGTGGTGGGCTATGGACTATCTACTCCTGTATGTATATTATGTATATTTTTGTCACTTTATCTATTTTAAATAAAAGTCTTTTCGGATTTAATAGCGGATGTTTTTTTTTTATTTTTGGTTCCCGACGTTTTGAGTGCTTTACAGCAATCAATGGTCATTGGTTACGGGAGAGACTGCCGTCAAATCAAAATGAATCCGCGAAAAGATCCGAAAAGATAGTTTTATTTAAAATGTCAAATATTCGCGTAAATCTAAGAAAGTATTAACTTTTTTAAGAACTTCTCGTATATTTTAAATGCAAAGGGAATCTAAAGGTGCTAGTTCTAATACAATAATATTATAGAAAAATGGGCAAACGAGCTTTATGACGATCTACATGACAGTAAATGGATATCGTCGCTAATAGACATCTGCAAGATAAAAAGAGTTGCGCATCCGTTGCCGGTCTTAAAGGGACCTGAAGACTCGACTCTCGAAGAACCCCATATTATAACGCTCAGATAGAACCTCAAGAATGATGTAAAATTGAAAATTCAAATGTACCTGCAAAAGTTGGAATAATATATAATAATTTAATTTGGAAAATTCATCGAAATAAATGAGAGCAATTAGCAACACTATAAACAAGCATAGAAATATCTATACAATATAGATTCATGTATACGTAACATGTTTACTAATAAAACTTATTGACAACATAATGGTTAATTTATCAATGTCAGAAGAATTGATATATTTAAACTATGTACCGTCTAGGTTTTTTGTCGCATTTGTTTATACTGGCGCTCGCCCAGTGGTCGAAAATGATATTTTAAATAAATAAATATGTTAGGATATTGACACACAACACCATCTAGTTCCATGGTAAGCTACGAGGCTTGTGTTATGGATACTAGATAGTTGATACACTACACATATATAACTTTAAATACATACATATTATACATATAAACAAACACCCATGACTGGAGTACAAACTTTCGTGCTCATCATACAAATGAATGCCCCCAGCGGGACTCGAACCCGCAACCGCTGGCACAGCAAGTGGAGTCACTACAAACTGAGCCAAACATGTCACCATATTTATGTACATTTAATATGTATTGAAAACCCACATACAATGTAATTTTCAGAAAAATCTGCGTATTTAAAGACAAAAACATACTTTAATCTTATTGTTTGTTTACTGTAAGATTTAACATCATACTGCGAACTTTTGGACCGTAGCCGCGGTCAAAACGTAATATTTACATTAGCTATTAAATAAAGATAGGTATCTACATACGAACGTGTTATTTCGCAGTGGACTTCATCTACTATGTATAAATAGGCAAAAACAAAACATTTCTTCTACGTATTTCGTTTTTCTACTCTGTTTATTAACTGACGTTAAGTATAGATTTCTCAGAGATGAGATATATACCCACAATAAAAAGTATCTATCAGCTATCATCATACTAAATTTCATCAAAATCCCTCTAGTGGTTTGTCCGTGATGCGGTAACACACAGACAGACAGACAGACAAAAATTCAAAAAACTATAGATTTGGCCTCTGTATCGATAATAATTTCAATAAGATTTTCCAAAAAATATTCAATGTACAGATTCGGCTTAGTTACAATTTTTTTTTATCTAGATACCTATAGGTACAAAACAGTTCATTATTATCTTAATATAATATTATTAAGATGCAGAGTTTATTTGTTTGCTTGAACGCGCTAATCTCCGAAACTACTAATTCGATTTGAAAAAATCTTTTTGCATTAGATAGCACGTTTATTGACAAAGGCTATAATAGGCTATATATGATCATGCTACTACCCAAGGTAGCGGAGCAGTAATCATAAATGCCAACAAATCGGGCAGACTTCCATACATTATTGTAAAACTGATGTTTGTATCGAAAGTTTGAACGCGGGCGAATCCGCGGGTACTGCTAGCTATTTATAAATATAAATAATGATTATCGTCGAATTTCGAGCACTGGACAAACACTATGTATGTAATTTATGAAAATATTATTTATTTATATCAATTTATCAGAATACAGCATTTAATTACGAGAATTGCATTGAGAGTAAAACACGAATATAGTGGGTTACTCTAGTCCACAATGCGGCGACCACAATAGAATAAGAATGGTCGCAGTGATCTCTTATAGCTACAATTAAATAAAAAATAATAATATTATAAACTCAAAATTTTACATACTATTTATTTGTTAAGTCTTCTTGGCTATATCGCTGAATCTATTTTGGTTTGGTTTAAAAGCTAATGATGATAGAACAAAATATTTAACTAAAAATAAAACGAAATTGGAATTGCTAGTGAGACCATATTTACTTTAATATTGTTTACTAGCGGCTAGAAAAACAAAAACAAACTTATCCCACGGGAACCGCACATTTTTCCGGGATAAAAAGTAGCCTATGTGTTATTCTGATGTATGAACTATATTATTGTAAATTTTCATTAGTAGTCCCTGTCAGTTCCATTCAGTAGTTTTTGCGTGAAAGAGTAACAAACATACATACATTATCACAAACTTTCGCATTTATAATATTAGTAGAGTTTATTAGATAAAAGTGAATTTATTTATACTTTTCTCTCCTTCTACAAAAGAAATTATAACAAACAATTCTTATAGATATTAAATAATCATTATAGTTTAAAGAGATTATATACATAAACCATAAGATAATATAACAATGTAATAATTTATTATTTCGTAATAAAACCTCATGGACATACCTATAAAAGATAAGACGAAACGTTTCAAAACAAGGCCTTTATCTTCCGCTGCAGCGTTCACATTTTCACTTATCGAAATCACCATATTTAATTCACCACTGTTTTAAATTACAATTTCGATTAACAAATGCAGCATAACACTTCACGAAACCACTTTTATATTTAAAATATGACTAAAATTCAACGTCGTGATAGATAGCAAGTGTTTACGAAGGAATTTAAACAGTAAATGAATTGCGTGAGCTATACTATGGTAGTTAAATCCACTATTAAGAGCTGATGTTAAATAAACATACGTGAGGATGAATGCCGTATGATAGAGCATTTGAGTCAATAATATGAAGTGAGAAGATGGTATGCTTCGTTTGAATTCGTATGCTATATGCGTATTTACTATAGATATAGATTGTTTAGACCTATATCTACATAAATATACTTAACAATATATCTTATAATATTAAATTAGTAATCTTACATTTAATAAAATTGTAGCTAAGCTGAATTGAAATTAAATATTTTTTTGGAAAATCTTGTTGAAATATCGATACAGAGGCCGAATCTATAGTTTTTAGAATTTTTGTCTGTCTGTCTGTTACCGCATCACAGAAAAACCACTGGAGGGATTTTAATGAAATTTTGTATGGTAATAGCTGATTATCCGGGTAACATATAAGATACTTTTTACCGCATCAAAATATCTCATTTCTGAGAAAAAATACAAAAATTGCAGTATAGGAGTATAATATGTAAAGCCTAAGAATGTGGTTTTTTGTTATCTGAACGCGGGCGGAGCCGCGGTTAATGGTAGTTAAACCTATATAAAATGACTAATACTAAAATTATATCAAATGTCGGTTATTTTTTGAATAAAGTAAACGATCTGTATAGAAAATCGAGAATAGTAGCATAAACAGCAACATCACGCTACTATTTTTGACTTTGGCATTTATTATGGGGGAGTCCCTCTATATATTTCTTTAGTCTGAATACAATTAATATTGTTGTCCCACGAGAACAATTTGTACTTGACTTTAAATAAGATTGTACTCAATTCGATACTCGATATTTATGCCAATTGTCAATCGATTTACATGATTGATGTTTTGAATGTAGAGTTTGACCTGTAGAGTGAAAAAAGAACGGTGTAAAATCCCACCTCTGGGAGTAGAATAATTACTTCAAAATTAATTTTGAAATCAGTGAGAAACAAATATCTACTAAACAAAGTTTTGTAAAATTACACAAATGTGATATATACGTACGTTCGATTAATATCGTTTGTAGACGTAATTACGCTTTAGTTTTTATCCAATTTCGAAAAGGGGAGGTACTCGATTGTTTGTATTTTTTTACACTCGCTTCACTTGGCACCGGCCCTAGGTACCTAAATGTAGCCTAAGACCAGCCAAAAAACGCACTGAGAGGCGGCCCACCTACAAGGGCAATATACCATGCTAGTTGCTTCTGATACTTCTGACGGCAGAGTAGACAAGTGGTGGAGTGAGAAATAATTCATATGGCAAAACAGCATTTGCCGGGTCAGCTAGTATTACAATATATGTTGATAATAGTTGGATGAGTCGACTTGCGAGATAAAACGGCCCCTAGTGAACAATCAGCCGGTAAGATAGGAGTAATTCGGGCTAACTGACTCTTCCGGGCATTTAGACTTGTTCCCTTAAGACCAGTTACACTACAAGATTTTACTATTAAAGTTTTAAAACTATAGTTTTTATATGTAAAATTATAATAAATAATAATTCTAATATTTTTTTTAATAATTTTTTTTTTTTATTACATGAATGTAGCAGTAATAGTGTATTTTCTATTTTACTTTTTTTTATACAATGAGTTTCGTATATGGTTTCTATATGCAAAAATATCGTAGGCTTTATTCACATTGTACGTCAAAATCTGATATGGTTTAAAAGCTGATTCTAAACACTATTTGTTATCACTTTCCACTCATCCTATGTGGAATATCCTTAAATATTTTGTAACAGATTGTAAGGTTGCATTTTTATATATTGAGTGTTTTAATAGAAAATAATATATTTGATTAATAATGATTTATGTATTATAAGGCATTTACTTATGTGACCTTGGCCGATAGGAATGTGTTTTTTTTTTAAATAAAAAAGGGCGCGGATCTTCATTTGTTTTCCCGCGCTTTTGCACAGAGATGTCGGTACCACCCTGTAGGTCACTACGAATTGTTTGTAATACTGAAAATTATGATTATAAATTACTTACGCAACTCACTGACATTTATAAAAGTACTGAATATAAGAATATAAGCAAGGAATATCTCGAAGTTTTATTAGGGACCCTAAAAGGCCAATAACATAAAATAATGATATATACATACGTCCTTCACTTTGTTTATCCATCGATCAAAATTACATCACTTCTATATTTATCATGTAAATTATTTCCATAACAAAATATATTTTAAGAACCCTATCGTATCATTATGGGAATAATATATGCAGGTGGCGCCACCTTTGGCTTGTTTTATTACTAAATATAGTGACCTAGGTGCTACTTCAACTCATAATCTATCTCATACAAAGTCGTCCTACCGTTATAGTGTTAAAGAATAACAAACATACACACACAATAAGTATATATGTACATATGTATCCATACTAAAATTAAAATTCAAAAGGAGCTCTGTCTGTCCGTCTGTCTGTCTTATCTTTTGACACTTAATCCGCTGAACCGATTTAGATGAAATATGGTATGGAGATAGTTTGAGACCCTGGGAAGGACATAAGATAATTTTTATCCCGGAAGTCAGCTCTTAAGGGGATGTAAAAGGGGGATGGAAGTTTGTATGAGAAATCAATCATTTCTCAAGTAATGGATATAAAACTCGTCATACCTATGTACATATGGATAGTTTATCTATTCCATAATAACCGTTCAAACGTACCTAGGGAACTGAACCCGAGCAAAGCGAGTGTGTATCGCTAGCAGATATACAAAAGGAAAGAAACTAAACTCAAATTTCATGAAACTCAACCACATTGCACGTATAATCCTTAATAATTCTGTGAAGGTGAGGTTTAATGCAAGATACAATTGGTTTATGGCATGAAAATTAGTTTTCATTTAAGTTCTACTACGAAGGGATAGTATAATAAATTTTCAGTGCATCGGGTATGTGTATAGATCTGTTTTGTTATTATTTTACTGTTAGTTCTTTATTTATAATAAAGAAAATTACAAATATATAAGTAATTATATATACAAAACAAATGTACACTTAGTTATTACTGTACAAGTCATGTCCGCGTGGAATAGTGGCAAGAATGCTAGCCGCATTCCCTCGTTGAATGGCAATGCCGATACTTTGGGCGAAAAATTATTTTACATATTTTTTTATGAGATAGAAACCCTAATACTTTTGACAGTTATCCAACTGTCATAAAAGTCATAACTGGTACGCTTTGAAGCAAGAAGAAAAGTCAATAGATATATATATATATAAGTAAGTGGACTCCCTTTAAGAATCATCCTGGTGATTTGATCAAACCGTTTTAAATTAAAATTATCTTTTCAGAATATTTCAAATTTTACAAAATGTCAGGTACTGCCTAACTTTGTAACAACTATAGAATGACTATTGAGACAACTAAAACCTCAGTCTCTCCCGTGACCATGATTGCTGTAAAGAATTCGAAACGTCGGGAACCAAAAATCAAAAAAAATCCGCAAAAAAATCCGAAAGGATAGTTTTATTTAAAATATCAAATATTCGCGTAAATCTAAGAAAGTATTATTTCATCAAGCCGTTTAAGAGAAGGAGATATTTTATATATTACTAGCATTTTTTCTCAGAATTGAGATATTTTCCTGCCGTAAAAAGTATCCTATATGTTGACCTGGATAACCAGCTATCATCATACCAAATTTCATCAAAAACTGTCCAGTGGTTTTCTCGTGATGCGGTAACAGACAGACAGACAAAAATTCTAAAAACTATAGGTTCGGACTCCGTATCGATAATAATGTCTATTGCAATTAAATTTTCCAAAAAATATTTAATGTACTGTTAGTAATAAATTTTAAATAAGACTACAGAGATTCAGCAATTCCTCTTTACTTCGATCACTTAACAGGAATCCTTACAAAATGGTAATTACAACTATTTATACATCATTTCCCCACCGTTGGGTGTAAGGTGGCGGCATCTGTCTTCTACGTATAACATTTCCCAACGGTGGATGACAATACTCTTAAAACATTAATATTACAAATACAACTAACCGATATCATTATTAATATTATAAAATTGTAAATAATACATTATAGATAATCAATATCAAATTAATATAATAAAATATAAAATTATAACTAACAAATTATGAAGAATCAATATGATCCTTAAATAATAAACAATAATAGTCAATTGAGCAACTATAACTAACACTCGGCCTTTCCTGATTTACAGATTACGACCTCGTAATTTTACAACATACGGAAAAATTAAAGCACAAGTATATTTTACTTAATTGGTTTTTTTTTTTTCATTCCTATTTTAACAATTATTATTATAATCTATTGTCGGCTAAACACAGTAGCAATGATAGAAAATATTTTACTTAATTGTTTTTTTTTCATTCCTATTTTTAACAATTATTATTATTATTATTATTTATTGTCGGCTAAACACAGTAGCAATGATAGAAAATAAAATTAATAGCGTTAACACTTATGATTATACCAGTCGGGCCGTCTTGATATTTAGATTACGCCCTCGTAATGACTGTACACATATTATGTTCATATTGACATGCACATTGGATGCTTTTATGTTTTTCTTTTTATATATTTTATACTGTCAACACAATCCGACACCAAGATTGTCATCTTACTACTACTGGACACACCAGGCTAGTACTTTCTACATATGTGACTAACGGACACACTAAGATAAGACCATTACATACCACCGGACACACCAGGCGAATATGTTCATATGTAACAAACGGACACACCAAGATTGTCACCCAAATAACTACTAGCGGACACACCAGTCTATTACATATATATACGACTTCATTTGTATACGACTATCGA